AGATTAAAAATCACGTTTCCGTGGAAATTTCCGCGTAATTTTCAACGTATTTCGCTCGAACAAACCGAGTCCCGTTTCCCTGGAACTCTATCGCGTAACACCCGATCGAGAGCGGAAATGGAAAATTGCAAATTGCGTTGGGGAAGGCAAGGGTAACTAACGTCTCTTAAATCTGATTTTCGGATCACGTTGGCGTAACGATGCCGATTTGGGCCGCGTCGTTCTAAAAAAAAAAAAAAAAAAAAAAAAAAAAAAAAGAAAAAAAAACAAGAACAGAGAAAACATTTCCATCGACGCGCTCCCGCCACAGGATTCCGTATCTCGATGGAATCGATGGTCACGACAGACCAGGCCGTTTCGCCTGCTGCCGCACGCGATCCAATGTGTCGAGGATAATAATCGGCCGACGTCTTTCTTTTTTTCCCCAAAAGAATAGACAGAGACACGCCTCGGGGAGGAGAGGGGAGGGGAGGGGAGGGGAGAGGGGAATCGCTTCGCCACTTTCCATCCTCGTTTTTCCAAACGATCCAACGGTCCAACCGACTATTACCGCGATAAGGGAAGGTGAAAAAAACTTGGATCGTTTCTCTCCATCTTCGAGAGAAAGAGAGAAAGAGAAGAGACGATCGCTCGCTTCCGACGAGCTCGCGCGGAAAGCTAGGTAGTTTAATGGTCATATTTACTGCCTCGTCCAATTATTGGGTAAACACGAGGAATCCGCGGGGTCGATACGTCGTTCCCTTCCTCCCTCCCTCCCCCTGTCCATTTTTTACGGAGGGAAAATCTGACGCCATCGGACGCCGCCGTTTTAACCGCGTAAAACGGCGCAGGTGTTACGCGCAAAGTAAGTAAGGAGATTAGTCGGGTGCTCACGGTGCTCACGAGCGCAACACGATCGTCCGCGTAATTTCGCGGCTCGTTCCACGGTAAGCTTTCCGCTTACCCGGTTACGAGATTCGTTACGATCTTGCGCTCCTCCCCCCTCTCTCTCTCTCTCTCTCTCTCTGCCAGAACACAAGTTCCATTTCACCCGAACGCGGGAGAATTAACAAACGGTGGTTGCGTACCACCGTTAAGGGTGGAACGGCACAATGGGACCGAGCGGCCGAGCACAATTCCCTTTTTCTGCGAAACGAGCGAGCGCCGGGCTCGGGCGTTCCAATAATCATCTCTCGTTGCACCGTGCCGTAATTGCGCTTCTGCATGCATGGGCCCGCTAATTGATCGATAACCGGCAATAACGGAGGATAATGACCGTGAGTGGAGGGGAATGGCGGCACGGAAAAGAGGCGAATCCTTTACGTAAAAAAAAAAAAAAAAAAAAGAACAAGGGATATTAATTGACGAGCGAATCCCACGTATGACTGATTAATAATACATCGTGACTCGTAGAGAGGAGAGAGAGAGAGAGAGAGAGAGAGAGAGAGAGAGAGAGAGAGAGAGATTCGTGTTACACGTTTCGCTCGCTTTTTGTATCTAGCTTCTATATAATCGAATAACCGCAATTCATTACCGATAAACTTTAAGCAATTCTTCCCGACCGGACGGTTTTTTTGATAATTATAAAAACGTCGATACGGATGCACGTGTCGACCGAGTCAAAAGTATAGAATAATACATATATAATATACATATATAATGTACAATAGTATAGAATAATATATATATAGAATATGGAATAAAGCGTATTCGGCCGAGTTTCCGAGTTTCGTCCAGGCGCAAGGCCAAACGTCGAAGAAAAACGACGTTGGATATCGTGTTACATTTCTCTCGATCCCCGATCCCCGTCTCTCTCTCTCTCTCTCTCTCTCTTTTTCTCGCTCTTGAACACCGATGATTAACGATGCCACAATATTTGCACGCGAAAATACGTGTGTAAATGATCGATTAATTCGTTCCGATCCGAGTTCCATATCTCCGATATATTCTATTCCATCCCCTCCCCTCTCCCCGTTCGAGCAACGCGTCGAGGTGTCGCATTACGTTTCCGCGGCCGAGAAACTCGTCTCGTCAACAGCCGGGACGACAGCAGCGACGACAAACGGCCACGCCGAGGAAGGAATCGTGGGCCGCGTTTGCATAATGATAAACCATTTGCATAATCACAATGATAACGCGAGGAGGATCCGACCGACCGTTGGTCGGATGCATAAGATACGTGGTTGTATCTTCGACTCGTATATATATATATCGTATATATATACAATCTATACCGAGTCTAGGCTGCGAGAATCGTACATGCGCGTAACGAGCGAGAAGGAACGAGCGCTCGTGGGTGTGTGTATTAGACGCACGTGGAATACGTGCAGCGAGCAACATTGGTCGCGGCACGCTGTGTAAAGAGGCGAAGGTGCGCACGTATATGGCAGCGAAATACCCGGCAATTTGCAGGTTTACGAGTTATTTCACAATGGCTGCAAAGTATAGTGCTACAGTATTATACAGGCCGATGGTAGCTCGGCCATCGAGAGTGCACGGTCAGTGAACGATGGTGGTGATGGTGGAGGGATGATGCACCGAGCAACCAGATGCGACCGTGCATTAAAAACTTGGACGGAACACAACTCCCTTTGGTTCCCGATCGGACGGACGGGCTTCGCCTTTTCGTTCATTTTCGAAACGGGAGGATTTCGAGGTCTCTACGTTCGCTCGAGGGAACGGGGGAACCTCGTAAACTCGTCGAGGCTCGCGGATACTTTTCTCTCTCTCTCTCTCTCTCTCTCTAGGCGGCTCGTTAACGCCTCGTCCGGCAAAGGTCGAAAGGTTAAGTTTCTTAGCGCGGCAAATTTGAACGGGACGATGATCGATGAAAAAAAGTGGCGTTGTAAAGCTAGTTTTTGTTTCTTTTTTTTTTTCCTTTTGGTGGAAGAGGAGGAGAGGGGAGGGGAGGGGAGGGGCAACGGACAATGGAGCCAGTTTTTTTTATACGCTGCGACGAGATTTGCCAATCTTTGGTGCGAACGTTGGTTCGATGATTTCGTAATAAAGTTATCGCCGGTTGAAATAAAATGACCAAGCGAGAAGCGCGTTTACCGATTTCCTAACAATTGCGATACATACTGAGTTTTATTGGTTTACGCGATCGTTAAACCAATTGTTGCGCAATCTCGAGAGTACTGTAAAAAAAAAAAAAAAAAAAAAAAAAAAAA